GGCGCCGAGGCGACCATTGTTCACCCTCCGGACAAAGCAAAGATTCTTAGGGGATTGATCCCGAATCGTACGGTGCCCAGTCGGACGGTGAGGAGGTGGGAACCACGGGAGGGGGCCTACTCCAGGCAAGCTGCAAATCGCGGCGGCGTGTTTGGGGGCGCTGAGATAAAGGCGCCGCTGGGCTTCAGGTGTGCGCTCCCGCTCCTTGCGTGGAATGCCTGATGCCATTTCTGGTTTGTGCGCTCATGTGCCGGCTCGTCATATACATCGTGAACATCAGGAATGCCTCCTGCCAGTCCGAACGTCTTGAGAGAGCGCGAGGCCAAGTTTTTGCGGATGCGTGCGACGGGGCCCCGGTGCCGCCGGTGTTTTTTATAAAGCTGATCGCGCCCGCGCATTGTCTAGGTGGCGCGCCGTTGGCCTTCCGCTGGGCCACGGCGAACCACGTGGGGCCCCAGGGTTTCGAGCGGACCCGCCTGGGGCCCCGCTGGTTCGATCGAAGGTCAGCAGGAAAAGTCGAAGCTCAGGCGCCCGTGGAAGTCGACGACTGGGCCGTAGCATTCGGGGAGGGAAGAGAGAAAAACTATCTGGAGCCCTGCCAGAAACGATTTTTTCTCGGAAACGCGAAACGCCGGGGCATCGTGGGGGCCGACAGTATAGGAAGGACATCCAGAAGAGAATTGCATCCTAAAGCGACTTCAGCACATCCATGTGGCCTGGGGGCGCACAGGAAACCATGGCGCCCCTCTCGCAGGTGGGGAAGTGGCGGCTTTTCGGCCCCTGGTTTGCATAATCTAGTGGGTGGGGCGCGAAACCAGGGCCGAGGCCGCAGGGGCGGCTTCAATTTTGGCCACGATGGTCAACGGGCCCAGCGTGAAAAACCTTCTAGAGGCCAACGAGGTGGTCGATCATTTAAGGTCGACGGCCTCTGTTCCGATCGCAGTCTGGCGTTTCAAGCCAGGCGGTTTCGCGCTTGCCACCGCTAGCGACTGCGGGGTGGGTGGGGCGGAAGACGAAGGGGGGCCTCAGCGCCCCCAGAAGGCCCGGCAAGTCTACGTTGCCGAAAATTCCCCGGCTCACGGTTCGAGGGCCGGAGATCGGGCAAGCTGAAGAGGCAGGTTGTTTCGGCGTGCGCCAGGGGGATTCTCGTTCTATCGAGCGCCTTAGGAGAAGCAGAGTGGCTCCAGATTCTCCTGCTGGACGTCACCCGTGGGAACGTGGCGAACGAGAGGTGGCCGGAGAACCTGGGACCATTCGTGATTTTTCTTAAGGGGCAGTGCCGCGTTTTAGGGCCTCCGCAGCCAGTAGAAAATGTGAGTGCGGTGGTCGCCGAGGGGATCTACGACGCACTATCCAAGTTCGCGTCGTGGTCCAAATCGGATCGTCGAGCCGCGATCGATCTGGCCGTCATTCGAGGAACCATGGAACGGATCGGATCCTCCATGCGATGGATGCCACATCAATTTATGCCCGTGGACTGTCTCACGAAATCGGATCTGGTCAAAACCAACGCGGCGCAGCTTCACCTTCGCAAGTCTGGAATGCTGCGATTCACGGCCGAGAGCGAGTCGCTTCAGACCCGAAAGGAGGATCCCGCCTCGAGAAATCGGTCACCAGCCGCCTCGAAAAGGCAACTGGGATATGCGTGCATCGCATCTCTCTCTCTCTCTTTCTTTTGCGCCCTGTTTCCTTTCCTGTCCGCCGGTCACGATGCCCGAGACAAAGAGGTGGCGCACCTTTTCAGTCGCGTTGTTTGCGCGCTGCGTTTATAGCTCGTTCGTGCCGGCGAATGCTCCCCAGGAGAACGCCAGGAGGCCAGATTATGCGCAGCATATACTTGCTTTGACAGCGAGAATCCTTGACCGTGCCTGAGCACTCGAGCTCGAGTGTTAACCCCTCGCCCCCTTTTCCAACAAGAGGGCCAAGTGTCTTGCGCGCGCACCTTCTCCCGCGTTCAGCCCACAACTTTTCGGGGAACAGTGGGAATGAACGCCTCCAGCTCATTGGTCTAGACAACCCCCTCTTTGGACAGAAGCGTCATAGCAGGGAATTGAGTGCTGCCGCAATCACGTTGGCTCAAGGCCGTTTCTCGCCCACTCGTTGATGAACCCGAGACTTCCCCAATTCACCCTAATTCCCATACCCGATTCACTATCTCCTCCTCCTTTACTACGTGGGTGTTGTATTGACAGCTGCTGTGGAACCGAGGTGTGGCACAAAAACTAGAGGCGAGGACATTCTGTTATTTCTCGGCGCCGTCAGTTGGGGAACGCAAAGGCACCCAGGACCGCCCAAAACGGCACCAAGAAGGCCTTGAAAAGGGGCCCTTGGGGGAAATTCGAACCCACAGCTCGAGGCCTCCGCCTCAAGAGGGCCCCGAAAACCGCCAGCAGGCCCCCAAGGACCCCCCAGAGGACCCAAGAGGCCTAAAAGAGGCCCCGAGAGGCGCCCAAGAGGCTTCAAAACTGCCTTCAAGAGGCTGCCCAGAGGCCTCACCAGAGACTCGAACAGGCAGTCAAGAGGAGTTAGACCAACAACCCAGGCACGATGGCAGGATGGGCAGAAGGCCGCCAGGAGGGGCACACGTGGACGAGGGGCACGGTGCCCCCCCTCTCTGTCCTCATAATTCGAGGCCTCGAGCCCGAGAGGACCCAGGAAACCGCCCACAGGCCCCCAAGGACCCCACCCAAGAGGCCCCAAAAGGCCCCACAGGGACCCAAGAGAGGGGCCCCTAAACCGCCCCCCGGGGGTTGCAAAACTGTCTCCAAGAAGTTGCCCAGAGGCTTCCCGAAAGACCCGAAAAGGCATCCAAAAGGTCTCCGACCAACAGCCCAGGCACGGTGCCAAGAGGGGCAGCAGGCCACCTGGAGGGGCACCAGTGGACGATGGTCACCGTGGCCTCTCCTCTCTGTCTTCCTTTCTGCTTTTTGTCTGCAGAGGCTCCGCTTCTCCTTCTGCTCTCTGTCCCTCCGGCGCCCAAGCCTCGACATCTCACTGCGAGCTGGGATTCCGGAGAACCTGTGCGCGCGCGCGATGTGCGTGATGGTTCTAGTATCAAAGTTCAGTTGTATTCCTATGATTTGGTCGGGCGCACGCCTCCAAGGATGACACATCGTACTAGTATGTCCTTCGTGGCGTTCCAATGGATGGTCGCGTTCTTGCACCTGTGCCGAAGCATCGCAAATAGTCGATGCCCCCTCCAGGCCATGTACCTTGTTCGCTGTTCGAGATGGATGAGCACCAGCGCCAGTCGCGTCTTCGCCATCCTATGGTGAATCCCCATTGGGCTGGCACCATTTCCTGACGAAGGTGTCAGATAGACGGCCCTGCGAGCAGAATCGACCCCGATGGATGGACGGGGGCTTGGAAAGGGACAGCTGGGCGGTGCATGTGAAGTCCATGCCGATTCACACGCAATGCAGTAACAAAATAGCGAAAGGTGCGTCTCGCGATTGAGCGAACGCACCCATCGTATCCTCCTTAGCCTGCGTGACAAATAGTATCTAGGAGTATCACGGCAAACGTGTTAATACGTGCGATAGCTCATACGTGAGCGGTGTGGACCTCGGCACCAGACTTGATCTTCGAGTTCTCCACCGTTGTCGTGCTTCCTCACAGTGCTTGCACCTGGTGCTGTCGATCCCGTCACCAAGCTCTGCCTTTCGTCAGCGATTGTTTCTTGAGGCCCCCCAGGGCCCGAACACCGACACCGAATTTGCCACCAAAAGCACCAGCCATTTTTTTGTTTGCGGCGCCAGCGTCCGAGAGACCGACACACGACGATACGGTCTGCAGCTCGTGTTGCAGGTCTCTTTCTTAAGAGCTCGGACACTGAATCGGCATGCTTCCAGATCCCTCGGGTGCCTGGGAGCAAGCAGGCGTGCTACTCCGTGAGGCACGTCGGTGCAGCGGCGCTTTAGGAGGGGGAGGAGGAGATGGAGGAGGAGGTGGAGGATGAGGATGAGGATGATGATGAGGAGGAGGAGGAGAAGAAGGATGAGGATTAGGAGGAGGAGGACGAGGAGGAGGAGGAGGAGCTAGGATAGACGAAACCGTGGCCTCAGAGGACGTGGCTGGTCCGATTCTCTTCGGCCAGCCCGCCGCCAGCTTCACGGCTATGCATAGCAGGGGCTCCGCGCAGCTCGTGGAGGCAACAATGCGTGTCTGCGCGTTGTCCCATCGCGATGCGATCCGTTTCTCTTGGGCGCGCTGTGAAGATGTGCGGTTGGGCCCTGATCGCGCGAGTGGGACAGCTTCGAGGGGCAGCGGATTCCTATCTATTGTCGAGCAATTGGTGCCTGCACGGTGTGGCAACCAGATGCAAGGTCAAAGGCCAGCAACATATGTACACGTACGCGGTCAGCTTCCCCTGGAGGGCGTTTGAACGAGGACGTTCGTGCATTCAAGATCGCGGAGGGCGTACATGTACATATGTCGTTGCTCGCTCACAAGGGGCGTCCAGAGAGAGAATGAATCGTTGCAGCTTTGGGCTGCGCCCCGGAGCACGCGAGGCGAGAGCCGACCGCGGGCGCGCGCGGGAGAGGAGCAACTGGAGGAGCCGGTGCGGGACAGGGCGGGGGGGGGAGCGGGAGTGGGAGGGGCGAGAGAGGTCCACGTAAAGCTCTCGCCCAGGCCTTCTCGGCCTCCGCCTGCTCCTCCTCCTCCTCCTCCTCCTCCTCCTGCAGTCGCACATATTTGGCACTGGCTGTCCTCCTCCAAGAGAACGAAGACAGAGACGTCCGACGCTGGCCCTCCTCCTTCGGCCGCTGCGTGCGCTCCACCGTGGCGTTGCACCCGCTGGCCGCTGCAGGCTGTCCGTCTCCTTGGCGCTGTTGCCCTCCCTCGTCCTGTTCGTCGTCGCCGTCGTCGTCGTCGTCGTCGTCGTTCCTGTCCTCCTCCTCCTCCTCCTCCTCCTCCTCCTCGCGCGGGGCGCAAGATACCATCGGAGGCCCCGGCCCGTCGCTCCGCTCCCCCCCCCCCCTCCTCACCAAGCCGCCGAGGCGGACGGCGGCGGCCTCGTCGGCCTCGGGACGCTCCTCAGGAGCAGCCGCCTGGCTGGCAGGCGGGCGGCCCCGCCCCCTGCGGCGCGTGCGCGCGCCGCCGCCGCCGCTCGCCGCCGTCGCCGAGCTCTCACTCCTCGAGAGCGGCGTTTTTCAGTCCAGCTGCTCCTCCTGGGGCTCGCACCCAGTTTTTTACCAGGGAAGGTCCTGGTCCTCAAACTGTGCCGTTGGACCCCGGCTTACCACAATAGCAGCTCCCGCTTGATCTTCCCTCAGTATCATTACGAGGAGGAGAGCGAGGAGAAGGACGCGACAGATTATGACGAGGATGATGATGATGATGATGATGATGATGATGAGGAGGAGGAGGAGGAGGAGGAGGAGGAGGAGGAAGGTGAGGAGAAGGATGAGACGAGGGGGGGAGGAGGAGGAGTCGGAGGAGGAGGAGGAGGACGAGGAGGAGGAGGAGGAGGAGGACGAGGAGGAGGAGGAGGCTTAGTTATCTTTGCTCGCAAGGGCATCAGCCCAAGGATTGCATACGCTGCGTTGCCATTTATTCGGAGAAAAAGCCAGGCACAGCGTAGCCAGTCCCCACACAGCAACTTCCGCCCTCCTACATCATGGTACCTCCTGTCCCCTCTCCCACAACGGTAGCAGCCCAAGGATTGCAAGCCTACTGACCAGCCTTTACAATACGAACCAGCCCGACGTAGCGCAGCCATCTTACTTATCTTTGCTCGCAAGGGTAGCAGCCCATGGATTGCATACACTGCGTTGCCACTCCTTTTAATTTAGTGCGAGAGAGCCAGACACACAATTGTACTATCACATCGTTGCTCAGCAGGGTAGCCACCCAAGGATTGCAGACGCTGCGCTGCCACCCTTTTTTAATAACGAATATCTGTTATGAGACAGCCAGGCATTGCATAGCCAGTTGGCACACATAATCCTCCATCCTACCTCCTGCTCATATTGCTTCCTGCCTCTATGTCCTCCCAATTCTCAAGGGTAGCAGCCCAAGGATTGCAGGCTAGTTTTTGGCTCGTCTCCCATACTGGGGTATAGGCACAGACTGCAAGCACTACGGGCCAGCCGATACCGCACGAGCCAGCCAAGCGTTGCACAGCTAGCTTGGAAACATTTGTAGTTAGGGAGGGCATGAGAGGGCTGGTGGGAAGTCGCTCTTGCTCACAAGGGGTAGCAGCCCAAGGGTTGCTTACGCTGCGCTGCCTCTTTATATTCTAGTACGAATCTGAGGCAGCACATACCACTGAATCTCAAGGGGCTTCTTATCACGAAGGTTACGGGGCTCGTCACACCAAGGTACGTGCTGTCCTCTAGTACCTGGCGGACGTCTACTCTTTGCTTCCAGCACTTACCACGGCGCCGCTTTAGTGTCCAGCATGCACCGCGACGCCCGCCAGGTACTTCGTGCACTGGGTCGAGTCTACAGTAGGTTAAGAACTCTACAGCTGCACAGTTTAAGTCCGATCAACGCCAACGTCAAAAATGAGGAAGAGGAAGAGGTGGAGGAGGAGGAGGAGGAGGAGTTGACGCATGATTATGATGATGAGGAGTAGGAGGAGGAGGAGGAGGAGGCGAAGGAGGAGGAGGAGGTAACAGGAGGAGGAGAAGGAGTGTTGGGTGGGATAGGAGGAGGAGGAGGAGGAGGCGAAGGAGGAGGAGGAGGAAGATTAGGTGGAATGTGATAGGGATCGGGAGAGATACAAAAGAGGAAGATGAGGACAACAATGTGGATGCGGTAAGTACTGGCGAGCTGGTGGCGGGTCGGCTCGCTGTGCTTGTACACTTGAGCGCAGCCGCAGGGAATGCTGAGAACTCTACCGTTGCTGATCTTGCCCATTCATGCTGCTTTGTGTCGGAGACTGCCTTATCGCCTTCTTACGCCTTACGGAGAACTTCAAGGCAAGAGGACGGACCGGCCAGCCACACCCACGAAATTCGCATCTCTGGAGCTTCGATTTCTGATGGAACGTGCTCTCATCATTGAGCTGAGCTTTGCCCGTCTTGGTCCTCCCTGGAAATTTTATCGTTGCAAGCTCCCCTGCCATTTACAGTTGAGCAAATAGTCAAGAGTATCTTACGATCAGAGCAGCCGTTTATGCTTACAAGAGGCACGTGGCAGCGGAGTGCGGTCGCGAATCCGGAACGATATCCCGATCCGATTCAGCTATCAGCCAAAAAGCCAGGCATCGAACTAGGCAGAAGGTAATCCAGACAACAGGCGAGAGTCATATGCCCACGATGTGTGTGTGTGTGTGTGTTCGAATCGGGTCTGCAAACTGACACGTCCTGGCTCACGTCCGGTTCTTCACCCCTTTACCTGACCAGACGTTTCAAGGCATAGTGAGCACCACCTCTGCTGCTCATTCATTGCTGGGTTCACAGAACGCGTGCTATTATGTTTCTCTCGATGAAGAAGGAGATATGGGCGGGGAATTTCGGATGAGAGAGACAGAGAGAGAGAGAGGAGGACAGAGAGAAGGAGAGAGACATATCTTTAAACATCTTACCAGAGATATATACATTTAGCATGTAAGACAAACTTACTTTAATATCTGACCAGATAGACATATATAGTTCGATAGGTAGATCGATAGGTCGATCGACCGATATATTTATAGATGTATAGAAAGATGGAGGGCGACAGAGAGAGAGAGAGGGACAGAGAGAGATACAGAAAGGGTCGTCTGCGCCCCAGTGGGGAGGAACCGCCAAACATTTTTGGTTACGGTCTGTGCGCCGCTCGCGGCGGTGGTTGACGGACGCGCGCCGCTCCTGGCGCAGGACCTGGCGCCGTTGGTCTCCACAGTCTCCTCGAAGCTCTCTGGCATACTTCAGCGCGGACGGCTACCAGAGCAGGCGTGGGCAGAACCCGTATCTTGGCGACGCCGGTGCTCGAATAGCATCGCATACCATTTGGTCAACCACACGATGGACAGGCGACGTTCGTGGTGTCATCAGTACAATCCGCCAGCCGACGGCTTGCGTACCAGGGGGACTAACTATCTCATCCATGTCGACGGGGGGGCCCGCGGCGATAGCTGTCCTTCCGCAGCAATATATGTTGTGGCGCATGCTGTAGTCGATGGCGACTTGGCACTCTTATTCAAAATGTATGGCTGGACCTTCATTGAACGACTGGCGTCGTCTTTCGCAACTGGGGCCATTGCTTCAGAGAGCGCAATGGATATGTTAACCACTCCTACAGCCTCTGGCTGTTCTTGACAGCCGACACGGCGTGAGGCGGCTGGTGCGACAGCATCCTAGGCCCAGTTGGAGGGAGAGAGAGAGAGAGAGAAAGGGAGAGGAATCTATATATATATATATATATAGAGATATGTGTATATATATATATATATGAGAGAGAGAGAGTGAGAGACACGCACACATGTATGTGTGTAAATGTGCATGTCTGTAGACTTAGCGGGAGATTGCGATGCTGTTGCGATATGGGGGTAGCGTGGTAGCGGACGTGCGTACTTCGCTTACATGTACAGCGGCGTGGAGAGACGGAGAACGGACGGAGAGAGAGAGAGAGAGGCATATACATACAGGGTGATAACAAGAGCGAGAAAGAGAGAGAGAGAGAGAGAGAGAGAGAAAGAGAGAGATAAGCAGCAATCATCATGAGAGCGAACGAGAGAGGGATCTATATATCTCTATGTATGTATGTATGTATGTATGTATGTATGTATGTATGTATTTATACATATAGACATAAGAGAAAGAGAGAGAGATATAATTACGTTGCTCCCATCGTACTTTCGGACCGCATCCCAAAACTGATTTCGAGCACCCGGAAAAGTGTCGAAACAGTGTCGAAACAGTGTCGAAACAGTGTCGGACGAGTGTCTCCCAGGGCCCGACATGTGAAAACCCTCCAGTTTCGGTACCTTCTTGGTGCTCGACATTCTTCCTGGTGATCAAAGCTAAAGTAGATTGCAACGTCATATAGAGAGAGAGAGAGGGATAGAGAGAGAAACAAAACAGAGAGTGAGGCCGAGAGAGAGAGAGAGAAACAAAGAGCGAGTGAGATAATACATATATATATAGATATAGAGAGAGTGAGAGAGAGTATGTGTGTGTATGTGTATATATATATACATATCATGAAACAGATGTCGAAAGAGAGAGAGAGAGAGAGAGAGAGAGAAAAAGAAAGAGGGAGACCGAGAGCAGGGGCTGTCCCGAAGGCTGCGCGCGGGGTCCGTGCGGGCCGCCTGCTTCATGCCCGTGGTCGAGCGGCTGCTGCACATGCTGAGAGCAGGGAAGATGCCGCGCCAGGCAGGGCCGAGGGGTCTGGGCTGCTTTGCCAGGGGAGCACCCCTTGGCGAGCCTGCGCAATCATTAGCTCGGGAGTGGTTCGCTGCGTTCGACGGCGTAGATTGTGCACCGTCGCTGACCCGGCCCAGGCTGATCCTATACCCATGGTCGGTGTATGTGCCTTCCTGGCCAAGCAGGGGTGGCCCATACATACATCCTGGGCCCAGGGCCCGTGGTTGTGAATAGCCAGGGTCCTCGTTTGCGAGGACGACGCTGCCGCTCGGAAGGTCCGTCGCTGCGAGCGTCCAGGCCTGGAGAGAATCTGTAACACAACGTACGATGATGATGTGAGAAGCCGGCCCTGGGCTGGGAAACTATTTGTTGGATCGGTTTCCCCCGCCCTGGTCAGGCGCGCCTCTGGACGGTCAAGGGGCCAGACGGAGCCGAAGCGAAGCGGAAACCGAGGGTTCGGAAACTATTGTGTGAATCGTTCCCCCCGCAGTCGCCGAGGCCGTTTTGGACGCTCTGACCGCTCGCGGCCCCCCCGTCCAGGTCCACGGGGAGGGGGTAGGGGCAGGGGTAAACCCCTCCCCGAAGGGGAAGAAGGAGGGGTGGAAGGGAAAACTCCCTAAACCACCGACGCCCAGAGGGCTGGTGGGACTATTGTGTGAATCATTCCCCCCGCAGTCTCTTCTCAATCGTCAGCTCACATCATGCAGGGCGTTCCCGAGACAGCCCCGCCCCCCAGGGGAAAATCGGGAAAGGTGGCCTCCCGCCCTCGGCGGAGGGCCCGCGGAGGGCGGCGGGAGCAGGACAGTGGCCACTTCGATGTCTCAACGAGGGGCACTCCACACGAGCCTGCCCTGTCCCTCGCCTTCTTCGTCCACCTCCTCCTCCTCCTCCTCCTGCTCCCCCCCCTCCTCCTCCTCCTCCTCCTCCTCTTCCTCCTCCTCCTCCTCCTCCTCCTCCTCCTCCTCCTCCTCCTCCTCGTGCCCTCGCCCTCGCCCTCGCATCTCTCCGCCCCCGCCGCTCCTCGCCCTCCTCCGTAGCCATTTTGGCTCGAGCGGGCCGCGTTTCGGGAGGCCCTCGCCAGCGCGCCTGTCTCGGCGCAGGCGCGCAAGAGGCCATGGGCGGCTGCCCTGCTGGCCGCTGCTGGGCTGCTGCCAGCGCGCGAACGCTGGCGCGACGGCTCAGACGAGATCGACGTCGGGAACTTGGAGCGACGCGGGCGTCGGCCTTGGCGCACCGCTCTAAGGCCCTGCGAGCCTCGCTCACCACGCACTGGAGCCTGAACGACGCCTTGGGCTGCCACATGCCCTCACTCCGCGATGCGGTGGATGCGGGGCGCCTCCTGGGCATCGAGCGCCACCTCATCGACGATGCGGAGGAGCTGCTGATCGTGGGCAACTCTGCGCGGCACGCGCCGCCCCCTGGTGCGGCCCGTGGCCCACCTCCGGCGCCGGTTGGCCTAGCCGCTCCTTTGTTGGAGGCGGCCCTTGCCAGCAGAGGAGAGAAAGGTGCACGTCCCACCCTCGGCGCAAATGCGGCGACCTTCGTGCCGCGCGATGTCGCCGTCCTAGAGGCGCTGGGCGTGAAAGGGTCCGCCGAGGAGTGGAGGATTTTCGTGGAGTACGTGCGCTCCGCCGAGGACAACTCAGATCTGGGGAAGCATGACGTGATCAGCACGGCCCCGGGTGCGAAGCAGGAGCTGGAGGGCGAGCAAATCGCCCCGCAGGCCCCCGCGGTCGGCCTCGGCACCGAGGAGTTCTTCGAGAAGAAGTTCACCGCGGCCGAGAGCCACATGATCTACGCGCCCGCCACGACGGCGGGCCTCGCGAAGGAGATCGATCAGAACGAGTACGCCGCGGAGCAGGAGCTGAAGGGCGGGGAAGTCGCCCTGCAGGCCCTTGCGGTCGGCTCCGGCACCGTGAAAGCTTTCGAGATGGAGTTCACCGGGGCAGACAGCCACATAATCTCCGTGCCTGCCGAAACGGTGGGCCTCGAGAAGGAGATAAAGCCGAACGAGGACACCGCGAACCAGGAGCTGGAGGGCGAGGCTGTCGCCCCGAAGGCCCCCGAGTCAGACTTCGGCCCCGAGGAAGTCTTCGCGAAGGAGTTCACCGACACCGAGAGCCACAATATCCCCGTGCCTGTCGCAACGGTGGGCTTCCAGACGGAGATGAAGCTGCCCCAGGCCGCAGCCACCAACAATGTCGAGATGTAGTTCACCGAGGCCGAGAGCAACAAGCGTCGCCCGACCATGATCGGCAGAGGCGGCCTCGTGGCATGGCAGTGCCCACGCGGACACGCGCTGCGAAGAACAACGCGAGGCAAAACATCCAAGCCTTACGTGACGTGCAGTGAGCCCTTTGCCACAAAGTTCACACCAATCTATATGTGCCTTACCTGCAGGTGGAGAGTGTGCGAAGCCTGCGCTCACGAAACAGACAGCAACTCTTCAGATTGCGAGTAGAGGATTTCGAATAACATCGGCGGGCATGCGATGTAGTGTCCTATATGCTGCCTCTCGTTCGTCGCATGCCCTTGTGTGGTTTGGAAATCCCCCTTTGAGGGGATGCGGTTTTCAGAATGATGAGCGCAGCCTGTGCGAAGGACTCAGGCTGCCTTGAGTAGGCGAGGCATCAGCCCGCCCAAATTCGATTTACGAATCGATCACGAACACTCCCCTTATAGCCGTGCGATGGTCCTCGTCGTCGTCCTCTTCCTCCTTCTCGTCCTCTTCGTCCTCGTACTCCTTGTCCAAGCTCGCGTGGACAGAGTATCCACTAAACTCGCAGAGGCCTTGGGCGACGTGCGCGAAAGGCTGGCGAATTTGGAGGCTGCGCAGCGGCCTGAGGGGCCCGAGGTGCTCCCTGGAGTGGCGGTGCGGAGGCCCTCTCCTGGCCCCGTTTTTGAACGGCATGGCAAGGCCTCAGGAAGCTCGCCGTCGCTGCCAGTCTGCCACTGAGGACGCGAGTGCCGTCGCTCAGACTGCATGTTCGCCCACCCTGATGGGAAACGCAAGGAGGAAAAAAGGTCGAGTTGGGTTCGGATGCAACTGACCATGTTGCTCAGGGCCCACGTCGGATCGAACCTGTCGCAAAGCCGATCAATTACGTCCGCTTCTCCACAATCGCTGATCAGATGGAGTCCGAGGGGCTACACGAGTTGGTGATGACACACCTCCTTGGGGGCGGTCCCTGGGACGACCTTCCGTCAGGTCCAGACATGGCTAGCGGGCTCCCTCCTGAACCTCGCATTGGTTAATACGTGCTCTGCTCTGGATGGCCTTCTCTTCGGCTGGCAGCGCAGCTACCTCTTCTTCCCAACGGCCTTCGGAATCCCTGAGGCGGCTTGTCTTCCTCGCGGTCTGCGGGTTCTCGCAAGGCTACTCGCTTCGCTCCGCTTCCCTGTCTTTTTCCTGTGCTTCTCCACTTGCGAGGTTATTAAATAGGGGGCTTCCGCCCGCTCTCATTCCCCGCCGTGAGGGGTGTGGAGTTTCCGATATCGAACAGACATCATGCGTAACGCTGTGCCTCCTCCTCTTCCTCCTCCTCCTCCACCTTCTCATCTCTCTCTCTCTCTCTCTCTCCCTTTCTTCCTCTTTATAATTCAGCAATGTTAGAATTACTCTGCCTCCTCCCCTGAAGCAGGCTGGAAGATCCCCCGCCTCCCCCGCGAGTTCTTTTTGGGGTTCAAACATTGCTTCCTGCTATGGTTTTGTATCCTGGAACTGTTTGCGGTGCTTCAAAACAGCGTTCCCGCTGCATCCTGGGACTCACTTTCTAATTGGCGCTTTGCTCCCGTCGTTCAGAGTGGCGCTCTCGCCCCAGCGCGGGCCACGCTTCTGCATCCGAGTCTTGCTTTACCGTGGTCCCCCATCATGTCCCCTCCTCCGCCTTCCCCTGGTCCTCCTGTTCCTCCAGGTCCTTCCGCGCCCTTTCCTGCTACTGCTGTTCGTCTCGCCCCGTCGCCGGTCACTTTTCTGAATCCGAGTCCTGGTTCGTCGTTGTCGCCCTGTTTTCTCCTCCGCTGCCTTCCCTTGTTTTTTCTTTCCATTCCGATCCTTCCGCTTTCGTTCCTGCTGCTGCTGTTCGGTCTCACTCACCCCATTCTTTCACTCTTATTCTCACCCGCCGCCTCCTCCTCCTCCTGTGCACGCACCTCATGTCTTCCGATGGCGCATAAGACGAAGTGGTCTTTCTGTGTGAGTCGCAGAGCGGCTGTGATACGCGTCCACGGCTAGAGAAAAACAAGCGCCATCGCAAGGGATGGGAGGGATGGATCGGATGTCCGAGGAGGCGCGAGCGCACATAGCTTGCCCTCTCTCTTCCTCTCTCCCTCTCCCTCTCTTTCTGTTTTTTCTAAAAGCTGACCCCACAAGATGGGTTACCGCCGGGGTACCCAGAGCTTTCTGAGTCGGCCACGTCAGGGGGGGGGCCCTCCAGAGACTGGATGGTTTCGATGTCGCTGTGCCGAAGGCCCTGGCGCATGCAGCGGGGACGACCACCAAGAGTCGCCATCTGTCCCCATCTACCTTGGCTATTTTGGCCCAAGCCGTTCGGCTCAATTTATCTAGATGGTTTAAGCGCCCCCCCTCCCTTCCCCTTTCTCCACCTTTGCATGCGCTATGCTCAATGCGACGCTGAAGGATGACAAAGCAGTTCACGGCTCCCGTGTTGCAGGACGATTCGCGGGACACTTTTTCCGTCAGCTTTTACAGCGTGCCCTTCGCTTTTGGGATGTTTCAGCCCGGCTGTGTGCGTAGAGTGGCGCGCCGGCGCGTCGGTTTCATTTTATTAACGCAGCAATTTCTTCTTCATGCAAAGGTGGACAGTTCGTTAACACCCATTCACCACCTTGGTTGGCCTGTGTATTCAGTTGAGCAAGCAGCCGGAGTTTTTCCGAAAAAAACGGTTTGGCACGCTTGACACTTGCAATCGCGGCCGGCATACATGCGCATGATATTCCTCATGCCGTGCTTGACACGCATGTGTGTTTTAACAAAGGTTGCCTGGTCCCAGAAGCTCTGCCACTGCAGTGCGGGCACGAGCGCGAAGCAACCGGCGGCTGCGCACTTTCACGGGCACACTGATTATCGCAGGCAGACTCCGCGAAGAAGAGTTGTGGCACGGTGGCACGAACGAATCCCATTCCTCGGCGCGGTCGTGCGGAAATGCCTGCCGCGCCCCAGGGAACACACCTGGGGGAGGCAGCACCTCCCTGACACGGGCAGCCCTCTCAGACAGCAGTCCCACGGCCTTGCCGGCCTTCTTAGCCCAGGGGAGCACCGGCCGTCCAGGCTTGTCCCGAAGCGACGGCATGGCCTTCAACAGATGCGAAAACGACCTTTTCATCAAGCTGCCCAGGTACGTGAGTCTGCGCTTCACAAGTTCGCAATCAATCGAAGGAATGCTAAACTCAATGCGCACTTTCAAGTCGGACCTGTCGCTTGTGTCGAACCGAACAGTATCGACGATCCGTCTGTGAATACGCATGTAAGTAGCGCTCATAACCATCAGCTCACGCACGCTGTAACACCGCAGATGCGCATTGAACAAACGCCTCGAGATGACCAGACTATCGCAGGGCGAACATTTCACCACCATGTGAAGTTCCCTTCGCCCGAAGGCGCGTCTACAAGTTTGCACATAAGCATCAATTGCCAAACTTCTGCGCTTTTTGGCATGAGCAAGACTGCCACCTTTCGCCTCGAACTCACTGCCGAGATGAGCGTGAACTCCGACATCATGCACAACGTCATCGTAGTCAGGGATTGGCAAGGCTGACCCACTGTCGGTCTGCAAGGTTTGCCACACCGCGCACGCATCCTTTCCACTCAGAACAAGTATGCCTTGCGTCTTCCTTTTTAAAAAACTTGGTCACCATCCTGCGTTTGGTGAATACATCGACACCAGCACGCAAGAGGACAAGGATATCAGTCAGCATGGCACGAGGAGAAAAGGCAAACCGAACGATGCCAATGTCATCGGCAAAGGTAATATCAAGCACCTCCTCCTCCTTCTCCTCCCAATCACCGTGTGCTCTCGGAGTGGTCACGGTCTCCCTCACTGGGTTGACGCATCTCCTTACCCTTTGGTGATGCCGGCTTCGCGCAACGCCTGCGCAAGTTGGTAAAGAGCGAGGGCATAACAGCCATTGAACATGAGCCCTCCCAACTTGAAGCCCTGCCGGCCGCGTGTAGGCAAAGCTGTTCGCTCCGTCAGCCTGGACTTCCTGTGGAGCGCAACAACAAGGCGAGTGAGCTCGTCTGGCACCCCCATTTGCTGAAAGGCGTGTCCGTGCTGCTCAATGTAATCCAGAATCCACTCGGCGTCCGGAGCATCAACCCCCATCCCTATCAGGTACTCCAGCTGGGCGCTGCGAGTTCCAGGGACGTCCTGGGGGAATCCCATGCACAATTCCTCGACAACGCCATCGAAAGTTTTCACAAGATCCACAGAGAGCACGGACGCACATTGCCCCATGGCCTTAGTGTAGTCAAGGGCGGTCAAGATGATCAGGTGCGGATCCTCAAGGTCATTTTCCAACAAGGAAGGATTTTGCTTGGTGGTCCACAAAAGTGAGGCCGCGCGAGCAATCGAGATCCCGAGAATCACCCTTGCCCTTGAAAAACTTGACCTTTCGACCCCCTTTGTCCCGGAAAGGGACTTCCTCGAGCTCAACGACCTTCTCAGCAAGTTTCGACTGCTGCACAGCCATCGCGAACCCCCCAGCCTGCAAGCTGGCAGCTCCGATGCCATCACGGCCGAGCCCGCAAGTTCTTTTCTTGTTTACTGTTGGCACCAAGGAACCTACTGGGCGACACGCCCATCGATCCATCAGCAGCACGTTCAGGGCGAGACTTCAATTCATCTGCAGATCACGTGACAGTGCCTTTGGAAACAGCGCAGACATAACGTTGCACGTGCTCCAACATCTGCTCAGTCGACTGCGGACCCGTCCTCCATCAGGGCAGCGGGCGCCAGCTTAGACGGCTTCCCCGCATTCTTAACAATGGCGTAGTCCCTTTTGCTGCCGTGATCACCAGAGGCGCCCTGTGCATCGAAGGCAAGCTTACTGAAGAAGGCGAGTCTGCCAAGCTTCACAAATTGAGCTGTCGCTGACTGCAAGACTATAACACAATGGAAAGCAAGCGCCTCTGACCTCTGCACGACGCAGACATTACACCCTGCTCAGAGCATCCTGCATTCTCAATGTTGCAAACCATCCTAACTCGAGGTGCGCGCTTCCGTCAGAACTCCGGGAGGAAGGTTCAAACCGGCATTGGCAGACATTGGCATTCAAAGCTCCTCCTTCTCCTCCCCCCTCCCCCCCCTTCGCGGGGCCTGGCAACCGCGATGCGCCAGCCACGGGTGGCGCTGCTGGGCTGCGCCTGGGGCGGCGCGCTCGCGCAGGCGGGGGCGCAGAGTCATGGTGGGCCTGAGGGCGAGCGCCGCCTGGTGCCCAAGGTGCGAGCAAGATTTGTATCCATGTGCACTGCGTCTTAGAGTTTCGGGCTCCCTTCCCCAGAAGCCAGGGGCGCAGTGGATATGGCCAAACATCTGGCCCCCTACAGGCTAGATGTTTACCAATGTGTACTGCGCCTCGGATTTTTGGGTGCCCCTCCCCAGAACATCTAATACTTGTACGCAGTGGATATAAATGTGCATCTTGCCCGTGTCAGACGGTGTTCTCAGCAGACAGGCGGCTGCTGGTGGTTGTGGGGCTCGAGGGCACCGGGCACCCGGAGGAGAAAAGGCACACCGATGCCGATGCCCTTTCCTCCGTCGTCGCCCGTGAGGCCTCCCATGGGGCCCCTGCCGCCACGGCTGGATTCGCCCAGGGATCCTGGCCAGCGCGCCCCGTACGAGTTCCGGAGAGTAGCGGTATCGGCTCCTAGTCAGAGCATTTTCTTTGGGTGGAGGGCAAAGGGTGAAATCTGAAATGCCGTCGATTGATTTTCGAGTTTTGAACCTGCAAAGGGTGAGTCACAAGACGGACTGATTTTCGAGGTGCAAAACCCCATATGGATTTCACCCTGGCCCCTCCACCCTAGGAAAATGTTCAGCTAGTGGCCTTCGGCCCACACCGCCACCCTGCTTGGGTTGTAGTTCAGAAGCTGGGATGCCAGTGGGGATCTCTTGGGAAGCCACTCGGAAGCCTCTTCGATGTGGTTTTGGGGCGTCTTGGGGCCTCTCGGGGGCCTATTGGGGGCCTCTGGGTCTCTTTTGGGGCCTCTCGGGGCCTGCTGGCGGTCCCAGAGGCTACTTCGTGGCGGAGGGCTCGAACTTTAATTTCGAGTTCCCCTGTCCGGTCCCCTCTCGGGATCCTTTTAGGTCCGTCTTGGGGCCCTCTTGGGGCCGTCTTGGGGGCCTCTTGAGGGCTGGTTCTTAGGGTCCGGCGATCACCCAGGATAACCTAACTGGGTTGGTTGTGCAGGTCCAGGGGGGGGGGGCCGCAGCGAACTCGCAGGGAGCCATGTGCTCAACGGCGAGGTGGTCTGCGAGCGTGCGCAACAGTAATGCTGGTGTTTGGATGCACGTTGACGAAACGTTGGGGCTTGGAGTGGCAGGGGAAGACGACGACGACTTCGACGACGACGACGACGACAATGACGACGACGTTGTCCATGGGTATCCGGAGGTGCATGTGAGCAGCGTGCACGCATCTGATGCTGCTGCGGCAGGATCTGTTGTGTACGCAGACGTTGTGGTACACGCAAGCACAAGGGCACGCAGGCCGCACACGGGGGCATCGTGATGCACCCAAGCATCATGGTGTAGACAGGCTCTGTGGTGTACACAACTGTTGCTGCAACAGCAGTTATGGTTCACGCAGGCATCCCAGACGCGGTGGTGCGCAGAAGCACTATGGTGCACGGCCATTGCGGTGTACCACACCTTGCGGTGTACGCATCCGCTGTTGTGCACATAGTCGCTATGCTGCTATTGTGTGCGCATGCGTTGTGGGCCCCAAAGACGGGACCGTTTCCTTCGCCTGAGAAATTAATTATCACAGGCAACATGCATATTGGACCCGTTGGGGCATTGGAAGTGTACTCAATTTTCTTATGTACACTTGCACTTTGGTGCGCCGGAGCTGTGGTCCGCACATGTGGTGCTGAAGCAGCAACCGTGGTGCACATAAGCGTCGCAGTGTACACAGGCACTGTAGTGTGTGCAGGCGCTATGGTGCATATGTCTCCTGATGAGTACACAGGCATTGTGGTGTACGCAAGCATTGATGTGTAGACAGGCGCTGCGGTGTACACAAGCAAAGTGGTGTACAAAGGCGCCGTGGTGTACACTAGACAGGCATTGCGGTGTACACAGAGGTCGGCCCAAAACGGTCCAGGGAAATTCAATAATCACAAGATGTGATACGTTTGGGCCCCCTGGCGATTTTCTAGATTTCGGTTTCGTCCGGACCTTCTAGCGCGGTGGCGCAAAGGTTCGCCATGCGCTGTGGTTCACGTGGCTCCTGTGGTGTGCACAATTTTCGGCGTGTGCCTGTGGTGCACGCTGGTGCTATAACGGCGCCGTCGTGTGGTGTACACTAAACAGGAAGCGTGTATCACACAATCATGGTCGGCCCCAAACGCGGGGACCGTACCCCGGGCCAGGAAATTCAAGAATCACAAGTAACTTACATATTGAATGTGTTACGTTTGGGCCCCTGGCGATGTTCCAGATTTGGCTTCCGTCGGGAACTTTCAGCTTCACGGAAGCGCTGCGGCGCAAATGTTCGCTATGCGTTGTGTCTTACGTGGCTCTTGTGGTGTGCACAAGCATCGGGGTGTACACTGGCGCTGTGGTGCACGCGGGTGCTGTAATGTACACTCACGTTGCGGTGTACACAGGCACTGTTGTGTATGCAGTCGCTGCGGTGTACACAAGCAGCTGTGGTGTACGAAGGCGCCGTGGTGTGGTGTACACTAAACAGGAAGCGAGGTGTACACAGTCATGGTCGGCCCCCAACGGGGGGACGGTACCCTTGGCCAGGAAATTCAATATTCACACGTAGCGTACATATTGAATTTGATACGTTCGGGCCCTTGGCGATTTTCCACATCTGAGGTCGGCCGGGACCTTCCGAGTGCATGGAAGCGCTGTGGCGCAAATGTTCGCCATGCGTTGCGGTTTACGTGGCTTCTGTGGTGTGCACAAGCATAGGGGTGTACACTGGCGCTGTGGTGCACGCGGGTGCTGTAATGTACACAGACGTTTCGGTGTACACAGGTACTGATGTGTAGACAGGCGCTGCGATGCACACAAGCAGCTGTGGTGTACAAAGGCGCCGTGGTGTGGTGTACACTAAACAGGAAGCGAGGTGTATACAGTCATGGTCGGCCCCAAACGCGGGGACCGTACCTCGGGCCATGGAATTCAAGAATCGCAAGTAACTTACATATTGAATTTAATACGTTTTGGCCCCTGGCCATTTTCCAGATTTGGGTTCCGTTAGGGCCTTCTAGGTGCACGGAAGCGCTGTGGCGCAAATGTTCGCCATGCGTTGTGGTTTACGTGGCTTCTGTGGTGTGCACAAGCATCGGGGTGTACACTGGCGCTGAAGTGCACGCGGGCGCTGTAATGTACACAGGCATTGCGGTGTACACAGGCACTGTTGTGTATGCAGTCGCTGCGGTGTACACACACAGCTGTTGTGTACAGAGGCGCGGTGATGTGGTGTACACTACATTGGCAGCGTGGTGTACGCAGTCATGGTCGGCCCCAGACGGGGGGACCGTGCCCCTCGCCAGGAAATTCAATAATCACAAGTAACTTACTTGTTGAATTTGATACGTTTGGGCCCCTGGCGATTTTCCAGATTGGGTCCCGTCGGGACCTTCCGAGTGCACGGAGGCGCTATGGCGCAAATGTTCGCCATGCGCTGTGGTGCACGCGGCTCGTGTGGTGTGCACAAGCATCGGGGTGTAAATTGGCGCTGTGGTGCAAGCAGAAGCCTGTGCTGCAGCAGCACCTGTGGTGTACTGGAGCGTTGTGGCGCACACATCCTTTGTAGTGTTCACAACCATGGTGGTGAACGCGTGCACAGTTGTGTATACAATATTCCGCGGCTCTATATCAGCAATCCCATCCCGCGTATTCCAATGCTGGCTGTCCGGACATATCCCCAGGCATTCTCAGACGGCGGCCGCATCGTCGCAGCACCAATGTCAGCATCGCCGCAGCACCCTTAGCAGCTGTAGGGGCCGCAGCACCGGTGCGCGCGGGCATATGCAGGCCTGCCCAGCGCGAAGGTTAGATCAGGTCGGCCGGCCCCTCCCCCCCCAAGGAAAACCTGATTTATCGCCGACTGAAAAAAACAGCCTCTTGGACCATCTTGGGGCCCTCTTGGTCCCTCTTGCGGCCTTCTTGGGGGGGCATCGTGGTTTGTCTTGAGGCGATCCTGGGAGCCTAGGTCGTCGTGGAGCGTCGACAGCCCGAAAAGGAATGTGATTTGTACCTCTTGGGGCCCTCTTGGGGGGCCTCTTGGAGCCCTCTTGTGGCGTTTTGAGGGCCTCTTGGGTAGTCTTGAGGCCATCTTGGGCGCCCTGGAGAGCTTCTGGGCCGCCTTGGGGTTTTCCTGGACCACCCGGGAGGCCTGTTGCCGCCCTGCTGCCCCTGGGAAGCTCACGCGGCAACGCGCGGGAAGCTCCGAGAGCGCCCTGAAATCTGGGCGGTGGGCCCCTGAAAGAATATATATATATATATATATATATCTATATATCTATATATCTATATATATATACATAGAGAGAGAGAGAGAGTTACTTATTTGTTACCTAACATCGAAGACTGATAGGTTTCTAATAGTTACCTAACAGCGAAGACTGATAGGTTTCTAGTGGTGTAAAAAGAGAGCAGCACATTACTTCAACATTACTTCAACATTACTCCACAGGGGGGTCTGGGCAGCCGTTGGGGGCAGTTGGGGGGCAGTTGGGGGGATGTTGGGGTTTGCCGGCGGGGATCGTTTTTCGCATACAGTCACACACTTCGTGCTCTTCGACCTCCCAGAACTCCATTCCCGGGCCACATTTTGAATGCCCGGAGCCAACTGTAGGCCACTTCGTGCTCTTCGACTTCCCAGAACTCCATTCCCGGGCCACATTTTGATGCCCGGAGCCAACTGTAGGCCACTTCGTGCTCTTCGAGTTCCCAGAACTCCATTCCCGGGCCACATTTTGAATGCCCGGAGCCAACTGTAGGCCACTTCGTGCTCTTCGAGTTCCCAGAACTCCATTCCCGGGCCACATTTTGAATGCCCGGGCCAAGAATGCCCGTAGCCAACTGTAGGCAACTTCGTGCTCTTCGACTTCCCAGAACTCCCATTCCTGGGCCACATTTTCAGCAGGGGCAAGAGCACGACGAGGAGGAGGACGAGCAAGACCAGGAGGACGAGGACGAGCAGGAGCAGGACGAGGAGCAGGAGGAGCAGGAGAAGAAGGACGAGCAGGAGGAGGAGGAGGACGAGCAGGAGGAGGAGGACGACCAGGAGGAGGAGGACGACCAGGAAGAGGAGGAGGAGGAGGAGGAGGAGGGGGAGGAGTACCAGGAGGAGGAGGAGGAGGAGGAGGAGGAGGAGGAGGAGGAGGAGGAGAGGAGGAGGAGGAGGAGGAGGACGAGGACGAGGAGGAGGAGGAGGAGGGGGGGGGAGAGTACCAGGAGGAGGAGAACGAGGACCACCAGGAGGAGGAGGAGGAGGAGGAGGAGGAGGAGGAGGAGGAGGAGGAGGAGGAGAGAACACCAGGAGGAGGAGGACGAGCAAGACGAGGAGGACGAGAACGAGGACGACCAGGAAGAGGAGGAGGAGGAGGAGGAGGAGGGGGAGGACTACCAGGAGGAGGAGGAGGAGGAGGAGGAGGAGAGGAGGAGGAGGACGAGGAGGAGGAGGAGGAGGACGAGGAGGAGGAGGGGGGGGGAGAGCACCAGGAGGAGGAGAACGAGGACCACCAGGAGGAGGAGGAGGAGGAGGAGGAGGAGGAGGAGGAGGAGAGAGCACCAGGAGGAGGAGGACGAGCAAGACGAGGAGGACGAGAACGAGGACGAGCAGGAGGAAGAGGAGGAGGAGGAGGAGGAGGAGGAGGGAGCAGGAGAAAGAGGAGGAGGAGGAGGAGGCAGGCTGAGGCTGAGGCTGTGACTGCGACTGCCGTTGCCGCTGCGACTGTCATCGCGAATGCGACTACGACTGCGAGAACAGCAGAATTCTACAACTGGATTTTCATCTGAATCTTAAGGGGAATGCTTTCAGATATGCTTCTACACATCGCTGTTAGGTTGCTTTGCCGGGATAATTTCTTATTAATTAATTAATTAATTAATTTATTTATTTATTTTTATTTTTATTTATTAATCGCTTCGCTCATTCCGCCGGCCCATATTGTCGCACCGTTGTGGGCTAGCCGAGTTTTGGGGCCTCTTGGGGGCCGTTTTGGGGCCTCTTGGGGCCTCTTTTGGGCCTCTTGGGCGCCTCTTGGGGCGTCTTGGGGGCCTCTTGGGGGCCTCTTGGGGCCTTTTTGGGGCCTCCTGGGCGCCTTCTGGGGCGGAGGGCTCGATTTTTCAGTTCTCGGTTCCCCTCTTGAGCCCCTCTTGGGCCCGTCTTGGGGCCTCTTGGTCCGTCTTGGGCGGCACTTGGGCCGTCTTGGGGGCCCTCCTGGGCCGTTCCGGGGCCGTCTTGGGAGCCTCGTGGGCCGTCTTGGAGCGGTCTTGGGGGCCTCTTGGGCCGTCTTGGAGCGTCCGGAAGCCGAAAAAGCCAGAACGCAAAAAACATGGAAAAAAACAATGAAAATCAACGATTTTGGCCTCTTGGGGCCCTCTTCGGAGGCCTGTTGGAAGGCCCTTGGGGCGTCTTGGAGGCCTCTTGGGCTGTCTTGGGGCCCTGTTGGACGTCTTCGGGCGATCTTTGGCCGTCTCGGGGCCCTCTTGGACCGTCTTGGAGGCTTCTTGGGGACCTGTTGGCCCGTCCTGGGGCCCTGTAACAGGGCTCCGGCATCTCTGACCCGACCTTGCCGGGACCTTGCCGGGACCTTGCCGGGACCTTGCCGGGACCTTGCCGGGGTACTTTTCGTCCGGGGACCCCCAGGGGCCGCCCCGCGCGCGCGAACTAGAAATATTGTTAACCAGGTACCGGAGATCTTAGCACGCCTCTGGCCCGCTGGGCCGGCGAATTATATCTATATGTGTATATCAATGCTGAACAAGAGGGGCTCGACGGGACCTGATGACTCTCCAAGTCGTGCCTCGGGGCACGGTGGCTCAAGCAGTGGCGACGCGTCCTGGTTTGCCTATAGTCCTACCAAACAATGTTCCAAGAAACTTTTGTACGACCTGTTCTTAGAACATTTCTGGTTGGGACTGTCTTACTTTATCACATCGGGTATCTGTTCTAAGAACATTGTTTTCGTTCTTAGAACATTTTTGGGTTCTACGAGCATTTCGTGGTAGGACTATAGGAATGCCGGGACGGTCGGTCCCTGCTCAAGTGGCGGATCTCTTTGCTCCCCAGGCACCACTTCTTCGTGGCGCTGCTCAAACGGAAGAAGAATCAAGGGAGCAGCTGGATATCGTGGCTCGGCGCTGGGCCCTCGCGGAGCAGGGGCAAGGCTACTGGGTGCAACTACGCCATGGGCTTGGCCTGTCTGCTGGAGCTGCCCGGAAACTGGAACCAGTGGAACCTGGAGCGGCAGGTGAAAGACGCTGGCAGCCACAAGGCCTCCAGATACGGCCCTGTGGGCGCCGGCTGGTCCCCGCAGTTTCTGACCGACGCCTCGGACAGCCTGAAGTTCGCGTTTGACCACAACCCGGGCTGGATCGTCGCCCCCAATCCGTACACCACATCGTGGCCGAACGGCCACGGCTCCCACGAGATGCGGAAATCACACATGGCGCCGAGCGTCCTGCTCCTGGCCCAGGCGGCCGAGATGGCGGGCGCGGACATGAGGGTGATCCCCATGCACCGCGACGCGGCGGAGCTGCTGCTGGCGGACTGCCGGCACCGGCACGACCTGGAGGGCTGCCCGGGCCAGGCCGACACCCTCGCCACGAACGCCCGGGAGTACGCCGACCAGATGCGGCAGCTGGATCCCGCCTTTTACGCCGGCAACTGCATCCGGTACCACGACCTCGACAACATCACCAGGGGCATCCAGCACGCTCTGGCGGGGAGCCGCGCCACCCTGGGCGAGGACATCGCGACGGCGGTGCGGGGTGCCTGGCGCAACAAGCACAGGGACCCCGAGGAGTTGGGATGGGCATGCGTCCACTAGTCGACCCCTTTCTTTTAGGATGCGTTTGGGGTCGGTTTTGTGGCCCCAGGGCGGCCAACGCCAGCATTCTCCCCCCCCCCCGCCCCCCAAAACGGCATTTACCTTTTTGCTGGGTTTGGCAAACCGTGCTTTTCCATGTTTGTCGAGTTTTACATTTTCACTTGATTTGCACTTTTGCTGTTCATGTAGAGAGTAGCGGCCGAGCGCCCATGCCAACGGAGGAGGCCCTGGAGCCGAGCGTCCAGAGGATGGCCGAGCCCATCCGGCCTCCGCTAGAGGAGGTGCTCCAGCTGTGCCAGGACGCGCAGGCGCTGGCGGACTCCCTACATTTGATGCACCCCCCAGGCTCCCCCGTGCAGCATCGGCGGCGTGCCAGGGTGCGTGGCTCGACGGGGCTGGCCTGCTACGAAGCCATTGGGGGGCTCTCCCAAGCCCTCCCGCCTTCTGTCGGTACCCTCGCGATGGGTACAGAAAGGATGGGTACGAGAAAGGGCACCAATACCTGTCCATTTTGAAAAGGGGTCGCTGTCGGCGTCGCTGCGGACGCTGTCCATTTGAGACAGAATGCCGCTTGCCCAACCAGCGGCCGCTGTCGGTTTTGGACAACCTGTGCTGTTGAACATCGTACCATTCCTTCCGCGCCCATTTCGGGCATTCAAATTCTGGGAAGCCTTCTCTTGGAATCCCCTTCTGAGTAGCCTCCCCGTGCGTCCTCTCCCAGGTCCACCCTTGCTTGGCTGCGCCAGGCTATGGCTTTCCCACACGTCGGTGATCAAATAGAGTGAATATTTGGAAACCCATCCTCGGGTGCGATTCTGGAGTATTCCGACGCCCCCCGGGGCCCCGTTTCTCAAAATTCGCTTGCCCGAAGTAGTGGAAACCCATCGGCCCTCGGAAGATGGGCGCTCGGCGAGGGCCTCTGGGTTTCCCACGGTTCGAGCCATAGGAGTTCCAGCTTGACCACTGCCCCCTGCCCCCCCTTTCCGACCCCAGACCCCCGACGTCATGATCTGTTCAGAACGTCGACCTCCAGAGGTCTCGACCCATTCCCCCGGACCCGCTTTTTGGGCTGAGGCCGACCCTCCGGAGAGAGAGACAGGCCGTCCTGCCAGGGCTCGAGCTAAACGGTGCTTTGGCAATGTCGTGGACCGTTTTCGTTTTGACTTCGTTTTGCAGCAAATGTGGAACGAAGACAGAACTAGGGCTGACGAAAACAAAACGAAAACGGAAAACACGGTTTCACTCGAGCCCTGCGTCCTGCTCTCTTCCCATGGCCCCGCGGGGTCTGGAGCCCCGCCGCCGCCCCCCCCCCTGGCGCGCGCCGCCCACGGCCGGCGACCCCGGCGCCGCCCTGGCTCGGCTGGTGGCGCGGGCTCTGCGGAGCGCTGCTGGGGCTCTACCTCTCGGGCCGGAGGAGAGGGGGGGGGGACTGGGGCAGGGGGGGGGGCACGACATCTGCGGTCGCGCAGCTGGTCTTTCGGCCCCCTCGCGAGGGGCCCATTCCTCGAGATCCATGGCCGCCTGCGGCGCCGGGAGGCGCCGGGAAAGTCAGCTCCACGTGAGCTGAGGCTCAACCCCCCCCCCCTTTGCTATCCCCCCCTTTCGCCCGACCCGAGCCTCGCTCTCGCGCTCGCAGCGCGGGCGGGCTGCGCCGGGGCGCCCCGTGGCGAGGTCGGGTCGGCAGAGGCCTAGCGGAGCGGCCGCCATCGGGCCAGGCTCCGCGCCGCGGCAGGGCGAGCCCTCCTCGAGCTCTGCCCCTCTCCTGCTTCGCCCGCCGCCTCCCCTCGGCAGGGCTCGAGCTGAACGCTAGTCGGGGGATTTCGTGGGCCGTTTTCGCTTTGATCTCGTCTTGCAGCCAAGGCGGAGCGAAGCCCGAACGAGGGAGCACGACAGCGAAAACAAGACAGGAGCGGAATAAACTGGATAATTAGCTCGAGCCCACGTCCTCCCGCATCCATCCTCCGCCCCCCGGGGTCGTCGTCCTCTTGCTTCTTTAGCGCTGCGGCTTCGGGGCACCTCGTCTGTGCCCCAACTTGGTATCGTTTCTTGTGCTTGATGCGGGCTCGACGCGGATTTGGCGTGGATTCGACGCGGATTCGACGCGGATTCGACGAGTCCGACATGGATTTGACACGGAGTCGACGCGGATAGGGCGCGACATGACAGACAGGGGCCCTCGATGGTGCAACGTAGCGTATTGCTCATATTGTTAGTTATTCCTCTTCTTACTTCCTTTGCCTCCTTCGATTTCTTAGGTTCCTTCGTTGCCGTTGCTTCTTTCACTTCCTTCACTTCCTCCTCCTCCTCCTCCGTAGCCATTTTAGCTTACAATGTTCGTTGCCCGTGGCAGAGCACGGAGGCCCTTGGTCCAGGGCCAGTTTTGGACTGCAGCTTTCGCCTTCCTCGCGACCGCGTGGTTGTGCTCCGCCTGCGGCTGGCCTCCATATCACTCCTAGTCGTTCTCTGCTGCGGACCTTTGGGCCAAAGGAGCTGTCAAGCTCGCCGCCAGTCGAATGCCCGCTCAGCACCAAGGCCAAGTGGGCGCAGCCATGTCCAAGGACAAGTGGGCGCAGCCATGTCCGCATTCGCCGAAACCGCTTAGAAAGCAGAGTTCATCGCCGTCGCTCTTAAAACCCCGCTTCTGGCATAGTTCTCCGCGGCTAACTTCGACATCAACGCAATCATGCGCAAAGCCACCGGCCCTGGCAAACACAGGACACCCCAGTCCCCCCAGTACTTGTACGTCTCCACCGACAAGTCGCCACGCATGTATCGGCAAGAAGTCCAACTCAAGAAATTCAGCAAGCTCCTCGCCGCCAAGTTCCAGCACATGTAGCCCATAATCCACCGAACTCAACGATTCCTGTCTGTGAGCGGCAGGTGCGGCACGCCCATCTTTCGTGTCTCCGCTGGTGCCTCAGCCGACGAGGCGTCCAACGCTCGCAGGTCCTATGCTGGTGAACCATATGGTACTGACGGTACGGCTAAACAGCAGCTCGTCTCCGAGCCCGCCGCCGCCTTCGCAGGCCCAGGGGCGTCAGTGTCGTGGCTTTGACGCTCGGTGGTCTCCTCGGTTCACTCACCCGTCCAAGGACGGATTACGTACCGTGTCGTGTAAGTCTCAAGCCCTGCGTGGACGCTCGGCTGCCGGGCTCGACGCGAAGAGGGCGATGTTTGTCCCGTATTTGCGCCAGGGAGCAGTCATTGCCATCCAGTGCGCGCAGCAACGAGGCCGACCCTCAGCTGTTCGCCGAGTCCACGCTTCACCGTTCCCTGTCCTAACGCTCCGAGTCCGCGGGCGGCGTCGCCTTCCTGATCACCTTCGACAGGTGCGAATTACAAGTTCCTGCTCGCCAGCGCTGCAAACGCGATTTTTTAGACATTTCCCCTGGCCGCGTCGCCGAGATTGGCATTCAGAACGCCGCCCGCCAGCGCGAAACTACAATCTTTAACGTGCACAACCACGAGCCCTCGCCCACAGACAGAACCAAATTCTCAGCAGCGTGGCAAGCTGCTCTTGCTCAAGCAGCGCTGAACGCGTCTACCCACAGCCTCGGGGTAACCGGCGACTTCAATATTTCCGCGTTGCCGCTGGACACTTTTCATAGACCAGTCGATGCCAGCACCGCTGCCCGTTGCCAGCACCAACCGACTTTCTGGGAAGTCATCTTCAGCTCCGTCCTGGAAGTTTCTGCACGACCGATGATTCACCAATGCGTTGCCAATTATGCCGAGGCCACCATCGACCGCTTCTTCGCCCCCCCCAGCGCGCACCACTTCCCGCATCTCGAGGCTCGCCTCATCTGCGACAGCCACTCTCTTGGAGCGATCGGGCGAACCTGCTAGCGACCATGAAGATCTGCGCTTTCGCCTACGCCCAAGGGCCTGGGGGCCCCCCAGTCGAGCGGGGCTCCCGCGTTCATCTTCGAGTCCTGGCACCACAAGCGACGCTGCGCCCGCTTCCCGTACTGCGCCTGCGTCGGCGGGATGGCCCTTGTCGCCAAGTGGCGGTCCACTAAGCTGACGCCGCTGCAGCGTCGCAGAAGGCCCGCGACGCCATCGGCAGGACCCCCCCGACGGAGATCATCGACGACAGCATGACCAGCAACGAAGAAGCGTGGGCGCTGACGCTCCGTAGCATAGCTCAAGCTGCGTGGTTCCACGACGTGCGCCTCGCGCGGTTGCTCGCCTCCGGCGCTGCTGCAGGCGCAGAGCGCGTCCGCGTCCGCGACCTTTCCGTCGCGCTCGGCAACCCCGGCGCCGTCGCCGATATCCTTCACTCCGCCAGCTCCGCGGTCTCTGACTCGCAGGCAACTGGCGGCCGCTCGCTCGCGCGCCGCCAACCAGGGCGGTGGGTGGACTAGAAGTGTCTACACGTGTCTCGCCAAGACCTTGAGACATTAAAGTACGTCGGACCAACATGCATACCCCCTTCCCCGAAAGTCAAAGTTGACGGGTTTAGGCGGTAGGCCAAAGGCCAGGGACAACATGTGGACATTTCAACTTCGGGTTTAGGGGGGGGGTGCGAAGCAAGGGCATTTCGGAGGTGTGGTTGTTATCATGTTGCGTCGCCTTCCCGCCATGGGTGTGGGCACTTTTTGTCTGGGCACCGGGGGAACGACCGCCAGCTCGGCGACGCATGGAGACCGTTGGCCCGCCGTGAGGGCCAGAGAGGCGAGCTCTGGAAACCGTTCGCAAAGCGCTGGGTGCTCGCTGACATCCGCGCCCCCACTGGCAGCCACCGCAACGCGGTCGCCGACCCGAGGGCCAAGCAAAGCGCCATCCAGCAGCACTGGGGCAAGGTCTTCGCCGCCGAACCCGTCGACGTCCACGGCGCGCGGCACTGCCTGGGCGTATCGTTTCTTCATCGCCCCCCCGCTCCACCTTTGATTAGTGCCAGGACCTCCAGGCCTTCGCGATGCAGGTCGCGAAGCAGGCGACTCGGCGCCTGGGTCCGCCTGGCCGCGCTGCCGCGCCATGCTCAAAGTGCCCGGCGGCATCGAGGCACTCGCCGACATCGACGCCTCCATCGCCCGCGGCGGCCCCGCCCCCCGCGGCCTCAACTTCTCGCTGATGGTCGTGCCCCCGAAGGGCGACGAGCCGCGGGGCAGCTTCGAGTGCGCCGGGGGCCCTGGTGACCTCTGGCCCTGACCGTTGGCCGTGCGAAACTCCGGCGTCAAAATGCTAGTATCCGGTGCCGGCCGCAAGTTTCACAACGCGGTCCGCGTGGCATCCGCCGAACAGCAGGGCTTGCTCCTGGCAGACAGTTCCCGAAC